CGGGCCTGCCATCTGCGACCCGGGGAGACGGGGCAGACACCACGGGATTGGGCGTGCCATCTGCCACCAGGGGAATGGGCCTAAGCCAGCAGGTCATTATCTCCCGAGGGGTCCCAGGCTGTGAGAGGGCACAGGTTGGGCTGAGGGACCACCCCCCTGCCAGTGCACAAATTTTTGTGCACAGGGCTTCTAATACACACACACACACACACACACACACACACACACACACGCACGCACTAATGGCCCGGTGCACAAAATTCGTGCATGGGGGGGGGGTGTCCCTCAGCCTGGCCTGCACCCTCTCCAATCTGGGACCCCTCGAAGGATGTCCTACTGCCGGTTTACAGGGATCGGGCCTAAACCAGCAGTCGGACATCCCTCTCACAATCCGGGACTGTTGGCTCCTAACCACTCACCTGCCTGCCTGCCTGCCTGATTGCCCCTAACCATTCTACCTGCCAGCCTGCTCGCCCCCAACTGCCCCCCACCACCAGCCTGCTCACCCCCAACTGCCCCCCGCCGCCAGCCTGATCACCCCAACTGCCCCCCGCACCAGTGTGCTCTCTCCCGACTGCCCCCTCCTGCCAGCCTGCTTGCCCCCAACTTCCCTCCCTGCTGGCCTGCTTGCCCCCACCTTCCCTCCACACTGGCCTGCTCGCCCCGCCTGCTGGTCTGCTTACCCCCAATGGCTCCGCCCCCCACCAGCCTGATCACCCACAACTTCCCTCCCCTCTTGGCCTCTAACCGCCTCTACCTCGGCCCCACCACCATGGCTTTGTCCAGAAGAACGTCTGGAAGGTCTCCTGGAAGGTCTCCCAGTCTAATTAGCATATTACCCTTTTATTAATGTTATACCCAGATTTCAGGATCCCCAAAAGACCACACCAGGGAGACAGCCGAGTCCGATGAGCAGAGAGTCTTTATTCGAACTAGTTTGGCTCCCCGACCACACTCACCGACCCAACGGTAAGCCAAGTGGCAGAGAGAGGGCTAGCCCGGTGGGAAGGAGTTTTATAGGGGGGTGGAGTAAGGGGAGGAGAGGTGACCGTGGGCCCTGCCGATTGGCCATGCGCAAGTCAGGTCCCGCAGGATGTGGTCACATCCATGGTGCGCACATTCCTTGATTGTCATTGGTTAGTTTAAAGAAGTCCTGGGTGTGGCTAGCAGAGTAGCAGAGGCTTGGGCTTCCGGGAAGAAGCCTTTGCCAAGCACATGGCCAAGGTAAGATGGAGGGCGTAGCCCTTACCCTGGGGCAAGATGGAGGGCATAGCCCTCGCCCTTTCAATTAGTATAGATAGAGGCCTGGTGCACGGGTGGTGGCCAGCTGGTTTGCCCTTAAGGGCATCCTGGATCAGGGTGGGGGTCCCACTGAGGTGCCTGGCCAGCCTGGGTGAGGGGCTGAGGGCTGTTTTCAGGCTGGCCACGCCCCCCGGCAACCCAAGCTCCCAGCCTCTCCTTTTTTTCTTTTTCTTTTTTTTTCCAGCGCCTCTTTAAGTGGAGGCTGGAAGCAGGTATCTGGGATGTATTTATCTTCTATAATTGAAACTTTGTAGCCTTGAGTGGAGGCCGGGGCAGGCAGGAAGCTTGGCTTCCTCCATTGCCAGGGGCAACTCAAGCCTCCTGCTCACTCCAGCTCCATGGCTGCCGCCATCTTAGTTGGGTTAATTTGCATACTTGCTCCTGATTGGCTGGTGGGTGTAGCAGAGTGATGGTTAATTTGAATGTTTCTCTTTTATTAGTGTGTGTGTGTGTGTGTGTGTGTGTGTGTGTATATATATATATATATATATATATATATATATATATATAGAAAGGTGGCACTGCCTTATATCTGCAGACAGGTGGCACTGCCTTATACCTGCAGACAGGTGGCACTGCCTTATACCGCGGGCAAGATGGTCCTTTTCTCCACCCTGCCAGCACCATCTTCATCATTTTTTGTCATCTTTGTTAATTTGATAGAACAGTGGTTTTGTAATATTGTTTCAAGTTATATTTATTTAATAACTAGTAAATAAAACCTGTTTTTAGGCATCACTTATGTGAATTGCCTACTCCTATCTTGCCCCTTTAGACTTAGGTTTGTCTCATTCATTTGCAAGAACTCTTTGTTAGCTACGTTGCAGATGTTTTCCCAGTTTGTTACTTGGCCTTGAATTATGTCTGTGTGCTCTTTTGAGATTGTAAGAGCCCAAGCCACTGGGCCAGAAGTCTGGTCTTTCACAAATGCTCTGCCTTTGAATAAACTAAGAACACAGAGATTTTTGCATCAGTTACTCCACCTGGAGGACCAGCAGGCAGTCTCCTGGGCAGTCATTTGAACTGGGGGTGGCAAGGGGCTTTTTACACCATGTAGGTCCCACCTCCCCATGGGAGCCCCACATTTCCATCAGAAGCAGCAGGGAAATGGCCTCCACCTTTCTTCTGCCTCCCAGATCTCACTTAAAGGCCAAACCTAATTGCAAGGGAGTTAGCTCTCCAAGCTCCCCAACTAGAAAGAAGGTAGTGAGAGACGGGAGCTAATGCACAGTCCTCACTCATGTCGCAGGGCTTTCCTTCTGGTTTGGTCGGTATCCATTCTGGAGCCTGGCCGGAAGTCTTCCACTGTTACCGTGTTTTTCGGTTTTTCTTGGCCATTTTCACAGATGTATTTTTTAGATACGTTTTTTTTCAGGCATGTTTTTCAAATGATTATTTTGAATTAAAACACACACCTAGATACTGTTTTGTAATTTACTGGGCCTCTCCTTACCCTGGTTAGTATTCTTTCTACTGTTTTTAGTCCCAAGTCTGATCAGTACAGAGGCAGTTTGTATATTTGCCATTTGTCATGTGCTGTTTTATCCTTGGAGGTATTTTAAAATTCTGACCCATAAGGCAACAGCACCACTCATCTTCTCCCTTTATCTTACTGTTCTTAGCGACTTCTGACACAACTGACGGTGCCTCTCCTTCCAGAACTCTTGCCCACGGACTCCCATGCCACCACTCTCCCGGGTCTCCCCCTCCCTCTCTGACGCCTTCTCAGCCTTCCCATCCAGCTGCCTGCCTCCCTCTTTTTCTCTCCCCAACTTTCTTTCTATGTGAGTCACAGGGCTTCCGTGTCATCTAGTGCCAGACATCCAAATAAGTCCCCCAGCCGCCTCAAGGCCATGTACCCAGCTGCCTGCTTGCCCTCTCAGCTTGGTCCTCTTGAAACCAAATGGTGGTGTTCGAGTCCGAGTTCGTTGTCTCACAAAACCGAAGAATGGCTTCACGGACAAAAACGGTTATGGAAGCAAAGTTTATTGGGAGAAGCCAGTCCTGGAGAGTGTGCAGCTGGGGTTCCAAAAGCAGCCGGTGTCCAGAGCTCCCGTTCCGTGTCGCAGCTGACGCAGTTCAGCTTCCAAGCTCATTAAAGTGTATTAGCCCATGGCCACGTGGGCGCAGGGCATGCATCCCCAGATGCCAGAGGGTGAGGAAGAGGAAGCATGAGCTTTTTATCTCGGGTAGGTACATGCCTCGCTAGCTCCTGAATGGTCCTCTCAAAGAATTCTGCCTTAGCATCACCCTTGGGATTGGTTTATATGCCTCACTGCCTTGTGATTGGTTATCTGCAAGCTGCCTGTCTCAGCAACATCCATACATTTTAAAGCTAGTGTCTCCACATGGGCCCTCCTTTCCCCAACTGGGTTGTCTTAGTAACTCTGCCTAGCTGGGTTCCCTGGTTCTACTCCCTACCCCCTACCCCCCACCCCGCCCCCACCCCCCACCATATACCTAGCTTCCCTCTGTCTACTCACTCTCACAGATATTTCTAATTAAGGTGTCCAAACTTAATTTCAGAGAGGAAGGGAGAGGGAGATAGAAACATCAATGATGAGAGAGACGGCTGCCTCCTTCACACCCCACACTGGGGATCAGGCCTGCAACCCGGGCATGTGCCCAGACTGGGAATTGAACCATGACCTCCTGGTTCATAGGTCTATGTTCAACCACTGAGCCCCACTGGCTGGGCTTGGTGGATTGATTTTAAATTTGCATTGAACCCAGGTGCATTTGCTCAGCTCAGTATTTCCTTAGATCAGCTCTGTCAGTGGGGGGTTGTCGGTTACCTACTGAGTATTTGACACCTTGGATCCTATTTTTCCTGTGCTGGGCCCCCAGTAGCGGGGCATGGCGGGGAGAGGGGAGAAGAGGGAGAAGGGCGCAGTGGAGGGAGCACAGTCCAAAATAGAAGTGTCTGTTGCCTTCAGGATATATCCAGTCACAGGAAGAAAGACTCATTCTCAACAAAGAACAAAGTAACTTGCAAGCAAAAAAATGAAGACAATCCAGAAGTGCTGATGAAAAGAATCATTTAGAGGAGCTGGAAGAGGTTAATAGGAGAAAAAGGAGGACCCATGCAATACTTTCAACAATAAAGATTTTTAAAAAAAAGTCGTTTAGAGCAGCGGTTCTCAACCTGTGGGTCGCGACCCCTTTGGTGGTCGAACGACCCTTTCACAGGGGTCGCCTAAGACCATGCTGCATATCAGATATTTACATTACGATTCGTAACAGTAGCAACATTACAGTTGTGAAGTAGCAACGAAAATAATTTTATGGTTGGGTCACAACATGAGGAACTGTATTTAAAGGGCCAGAAGGTTGAGAACCACTGGTTTAGAGGAATATAAAGTTAACTAGAGGCCCGGTGCACAAAAATTTGTGCACTGGGGGGGGGGGACTCCCTCAGTCCGGCCTGTGCCCTCTTGCAGTCTGGGACCCCTTGGGGGATGACCACCTGCTGGCTCCCCGGGATTGGGCCTAAGCTGGCAATCAGACATCCCTCTGGCAGCCCGGCAGCCCTCAGGGGATGTCCACTTGCCAGCGGGGAGCAGGCCTAAGCTGCAGTCAGATATCCTTAGTGCTGCTCAGGAGGTGGGAGAGTCTCCCACCACCACCGCTGTACTGGCAGCCATCAGCCTGGCTTGTGGCTGAGCAGAGCTCCCCCTGTGGGAGCACACTGACCACCAGGGGGCAGCTCCTGCATTGAGCAGCTGTCCGCTGGTGGTCAGTGTGTGTCATAGTGACCAATCATTCCCAGTCATTCTGCTGTTAGGGTCAATTTGCATATTACCCTTTTATTATATAGGATTAGGTATACCTCCGGGGTAGGTGGACCAATGTGAACCTAAAAATAAAAGGCCAAAGTGAGAGCAGCAAGCTCTTCTTTGAGATCCCAAAGATTCCTGCAGGAACCCAAACTGCCCCGAGTGTGAGGTGAAGGAAGGGGTTTAGGAGACTAGGAAGGGAAATAATCACATGAATAGGATAATTCCCATTGCTGCTGACCAGCTGTTACTCAAGCTCTACATGGATTCTATCTTAGAAAATGATTCTGTAATCAACAGTCCTTGTGGTCAGCATGTCTGCTATCCTGTTAGTTTTGCAAATAGCTGTCTGGCCCAGTCCAAAGGTTATTTTGTCCAGTTCAAACATTCCAAAGGTTCATGGAGCAAGACATGCAAGCAGTTCCTCTGGAATGGCTCCCCTTATGTCAGCTTTTCACCCCAGGAAGGTCTTGAAGGGAAGCCCTGTTGGGGGTAGTAAGTCCTTGGCTCCAGCAGAACCAAGCTGCAGTAGGACCTTGGCCCTCATGCTCTGAGCTGGGTCTGGAGCGGGGCACTGGGTGCTGGTCTGGCTGCGTGACCGCGTTCCCATACCCTGTCAGTCCTTCAAGCAGCGCCTCGTGTAGGAGCACTGAGAGCTTTGGAGAAACAAGAACAACTGTTACCCCCAAACCACAATTACAACTTTATCATAATGAAACACATGCGTTAATGTTTCAAAGTGCCATCTCTGAGCTCTTGTCAGATTCACTGTTTTCCACCTTATTTTGGGACAAAAGTGTGGTCCACATGTGCCCCCCCTCCCCCTTCAGAACCCACACTGGACTCCTTCAGAAGAATGAAAGTTAAAGGCAACCAGCTCCCCAGCAAACACTCATTACATATTGCCTGGGAACTGCTAAGGCAATTTGTTTTTGTTTTTGGTTAGTTCTTACCCAAGGATGTTTTCCATTGACTTTTAGAGAGAGTGGAAGGGAGGGGGCGAGAGAAATATCAATCAACTGGTTGCCTCCCACATAAGCCCCCACCAGGGCCAGGGGTCAAGCCTGTAACCTACAACCAAGGTATGTGCTCTTGACCGGAATTGAACCTGGGACTCTTCATTCTGAGGGCTGAAGCTCTATCCACTGGGCCAACCCGGCTAGGGTGGCAGTTTGTTTTTTAAAGAGGCCACTGGCTTTGGGAGTTAATCCTTCCCATGCCTGCCAGCTCCAGGTTGCTCACTGCTCTGTGGCAATCACCTCTGTGTTGTGTCACTGGGTCATTCCTAATGATTGTTAAGGGACTGACCTTTTCACATGATCGACGTTTCTAAATCGGACCCACATGGGGTCTTATCTGGGGAAATAGCAAGCTTACTTGCTTGCATTCTGACATACCTTCTTGAGTGGAATTTCAGCAGAGAACTGGGTGTGATTTATGAAATGGATCAGGTTACTCATCTACAACCCAGAGTGAAGAGAATATTCCAAGAAAATCTTTTTATTTACTTTTTTCTTTGTCAATGCCTGGAACACCACAGGTACTTCATTCTAGGGAAGAGGTCAGGGACGGGTGCTCCCCCCTCTTAGCCTGGGTGCCACCTCTTCCTTCTTCACCCAAAAGGTCCTCCGAAGTCTTTTATCACCAGCTCTAGCGTCACTCCCTCCTGGGAACCTCAGTAGCTGTCAGCACCGGTCCTTTGCCTTGTGTGAGAATTCACTGTTGGTAGCTGTCCCTGGGCCTGCTCCTGTGGACTCTTCGACTCCACACCACCCCAGCATTACCCTGAGGGACTCGAGTGGAGTGTGAATAGCTGCAGAGTGTAGTAGACAGAAGCACCACGGAGGAGACAGAGCTTTAGTGAAGCGCTATCGGTGAGCCCTCCTAGCAAGGCTGTGAAGTCAGAGTTAAGAAAGAGGGGTAGAAATGAGGGCTATAAAATGTTGAAGATTTCACCTGATAAATTTTGGGGAAACCAAGAAAGCAATGTGATATGGTGGAGGCAGGACTTTGGGCTAAGCTCTGAGTGAAATGGGTAAACTCCAGTAAACTAGATCCCTCGAGAAGAGAGGACAGCCAAGAACATATTAAAAACTTGGTTGCATGAAGTAATGGAAAATAGGATAGGCATTCCAAGGATGCTATGTTGGTTTCCCATTTGAAAAAGTAAGGAAGTACAATCTGGTAAGTAAGTATGGGAAAGTGGGAGTTCACACAGAGACACCGTGGCATAGCCACTGTGCACACAGACAGAGCCTGCCACCAGGGGCCCAAGATGCCAGCCCCTACACAGAGCTCTGTGCCCATGGGCACTCCCTCGCCTCTCCACGCCCAAGTTCCCCCGCTGCCAAGTGGGAAATGAATAATGGCCTCCTCATAGTATCTTGTAAGACTGCAAGTGTTGCTAGCAATGATGCCTGGTAAAAGTGAACACCAGATGGCGTTATTATATAAAGTTTCTAAGATTTAGTGGGTAATTTATTTGGAACAAATAAACTTTAGGGATAACCTGATTAAGTCGTGTGTGATTCCACAGATGATAAAACGCAGAGTCATTATATGACCTTTATAAGTCACTTCAGCCCTGGACGGCTTGGCTCAGTGGATGGAGCGTCGGCCTGCGGACTGAAGGGTCCCGTGTTCAATTCCGGCCAAGGGCACATGCCTGGGTTGCGGGCTCGGTCCCCAGTGGGGGGGGTGCAGAAGGCAGCCAATCAGTGATTTTCTCTGATCATTGATGTTTCTCTCTCTCCTCCCTTCTTCTCTGAAATCAATAAAGAAATATACTTTTAAAAAAAAAGTCACTTCAAACACATATTATCTACTAGTCTCTTCCAGTCATTCTTAAATGGCTTTTTATGTACTTAAAGCTTGTCTTCCAGTCTGATTCTTGAGTGTAAGAACTATGTCTTAATCTCATATGACCTAACAGTGTTCAGTACACATAGCAGGGCTAATAAATACCTGGGGTTTTTTAATACAAAATTTCAAATTTGCCCCAACAGCAACCATTTACATATTAGCAATTATTATTATTATTATTATATTTAATGCCACTTTCTAAGAACCAGACAGCCCTGGGAGAAAGGTCTAGATACGTAAGTTTTTGAAAAGGGAGAGAAGGCCCCAGGAGGTGGGGCCTGGAGGAAGGTTTGTTTCCGGGAAAAGTTTGATGAAAGCAAAAGGGACCCCAGGGCTCCTAGCCTGTACTTAACAGCGGCCGCTCCCTGTCCAGCTGCAGCAGCTGCTTCCACAATAGGGAGTCCCTCTCGGTGCTGCTCACAGGCAGGTGGAGAAACAGACCTGCCAACAGCCTCCCAACAGAACCCATGCCATGGAGGGAGACCCCCAAGGCCCTGTGCCCCGAGCCCGGACCCGAGTGCCTGGCTGCCAGGGGCCTGGGAGGAGCCTTGACCAGGAGCTGGCATGTGTTTTTGCTATTACCTAAATGTAAGGGACCCACCTGAACAGGAAAGAGGCACTGAGCCATTTGCCAGCGATTTTAGACGATGACTAATTTTATGCGGGGGCGGTGGGCTGGGGAGGCTGTGGGGAGGAAGGGAGACTAAGAACCACGAAGTCCGAAGGTCCTGATTCTGAGAGGTGAGCACACTTGGCCTATGTGGGCAGAGTGCTTAGTGGAAAGGCAAGACTGTCCTTTGGGATGCATAGAATAGGAGGCTGGAGGGAGACTGGGGGCGCAGACTGTCCTCCCAGAGACCCCTTCCTCACGGAGAGGTCACCTAGAGAGCCCAGAGTGACTGCAGGAGGAGGAACAGAGCTCTGTGCAACAGCCGGAGAGGGCTGGCCCCCTGGCATTTGCACCCCCAAGATTTGCCTGCCATGGTTCCAGGAGGCTCCCAGGGTCAAGTGGACAGATCAGGAGGAGGGCTTGGGCCACCTTGACAACCCAATTCCCTGTGCGAGAGGACACCCACCAGATGAGGGGGCTCCGGCGTGTGCAGCCAGGAATGAAAACCGAGGAGCAGAAAGAGGCCCAGCCAGACGTCCCCCTTCCTCCCAGCAGCAGCCAGTCCTGCCCATCCTGGACCCACCATAAGATTCAGGACCAGCAAAGAAAGGGATAGGGCATGCAACCAGCTGGGCTGCCAGATAAAATACAGGACACCCAGTTAAATTTGAACTTCAGAAGCATGGAACAGAGTGTGGAATCCCAGAGGGAAGGCATGGGAGGGTGGATGGGTGTGAGGTGATCAACCAAAGAACTTATATGCATATATGCATACCCCATGGACACAAACAATAGGGTGGTGAAGGCCTGGAGGGGGTCAATGGGGGGCAAAGGGGACATATGTAATACTTTCAACAATACAGATTTTTTAAAATATATTTTTTATTTATTTCAGAGAGTAAGGAAGAGGGAGAGATAGAAACATCAATGATGAGAATCATTGATCGGCTGCCTCCTGCACACCCCCCACTGGGGATCGCAACCTGGGCATGTGCCATTGAGCGGAATCAAACCCGGGACCCTTCAGTCTGCAGGGTAATGCTCTATCCATTGAGCCAAACTGGCTAGGCCTCAACAATACAATTAAAAAAAAAATTTGGTGTTGAAAACAGTAATAATGTATTGCAAGAATGGATCTTTTGATTCCTCAGCCATTAAAAGAAGAGATAAAGTATGTAACTTCTGAACCAATTTAGGGAAATAGAATAGTAGGATAATTTTAACAGAATTCTAATAGAATAATCCTAACCCATCTGAAAGAAGGCAAGAAAAGAGATAACAGAACTTGGATCAGATGGGGCACATAGAAAGCAGTGAATAAGATTTAAGATTAAACATATCAGAAATTATATGTTAAAGGCCAAATGATCCTGTTAAAAGAAGTTATCATACTGAATTAAAACAACTATATGTTATTTCCAAGAGACACATCTAAACAGAAATACAGGAAGGTTGAAAGTAAAAGGAGGGGCCAGATAGTGTGGCTCAGTGGACTGAGCATCATCCCATGGGCCAGAGGTCCCGGTTCAATTCCAGGTCGGGGCACATGCCTGGGTTACAGGCTTGACCTCCAGTAGGAGGCATGCAGGAGGCAGTTGATCCATGTGTCTCTCTCATAGATGTTTCTATTTCTCTCTCCCTCTCCCTCTCTATCTAAAAATCAATAAAAACATTCTTTAAAAAGTAAAAGGATGGAAAGAGATATGCCATGTAACAATAAAAAATAAGCTGATGTTATTAATACCAGAAAAATAAAAGAGTTTAAGTAAACAAAAGGCATTACCACAGATAGATGTTTACTTATTTTTTAAAAAAATATTTTTTTATTGATTTCAAAGAGGAAGGGAGAGGGAGAGAGATATAGAAACATCAATGAGGAGAGAAAATCATTGATTGGCTGCCTCTTGTATGCCCCCTACTGGGGATTGAGCCCGAATCCCAGGCATTTGCCCTTGACCAGAATCGAACTGGGACCCTTCAGTTTGCAGGCTGACACTCTATCCACTGAGCCAAACAGGCTATGGCAGATGTTTACTTCTTAAAGTTTCAATCACCAGGAAAATATTGTGAAGGAAAACCCCTATTCTGTAAAACTACTGTTTGGAATTCTCTGCTATTCTTTGGACGGCCTCTATCTAATTCTGAAAAAGTAACTTTGCTTTCTAGCCTGCTTGAATAGTGGGGGAGATAAACTTAGCTGACCTTGTAGGCCAGAGACTAGATATACCCAATGCCATGCCAGGTGCATTTTTTAGTTGATAGAACTGTGTAGTTTTCAAGGCCGCCGCCAGCAAGCACACAAAGGACTGGCTCTTCCATAAAAAGGGAAGTTCTGCTTGTAGCTTCGCTTAGAATTTGGATTCATTTCCCTAAGCCCACCGCGGTGAATAAAGTGTAACTCCAAACTCTCAGAGCGCTGTTTGGTTCTTGTCCGGTTTTTCTGTAACAATATAACAATTCTATATTAATATGCACCCAATAACAAGGCCTTTATTATATAAAGCAAAGTTCACAGAATTATAGTAGAAATGAATAAGTCAACAATTATCTCATTAATTGATAGAACAAGCAGATAACCATTAAGAGCAGAGGAAATCAGAACAATACATTACAAACTTGATCTGCTGGCTTTATCTAGGTGACTGCACCTAGTATCTGCAAAACAATCTTCTCACGTGCCCAGGTGACCTTCACTGAGAAACACGTGCTGAGCCCTGAGCAAGTCTCAGCACATGTCAAAGGATAGAAATCAGGTCAGTATGTTTTCTGACCACAAAGTAATAAAAATATAACTAGGAAGCCCTGTATGGAAATTTAAAAAAAAAACCCAAACTTCTAAAAATCCTATGGGATCTGTTATTATTTGTGCTTTCTGTTCTTTCTTGTTTTTCACACCAGAAGTTTATCAATTTTAATACTTTTTCAAAGTATCAAACAACTTTTGATCATTTCTCCTGTGTTGTTTTATGTTTTAATTTTTGCTCTCATCTTCGTTATCTTGTTCATTTAACTTTTAAAAATTAGATAGATCATTAGTCAACTTATCCATGAAATTTTGTATGAAGATTTACAAAATACTGCTTTTTAATTATTCTTTAAAATAAGTTTGTGAGACCCTAGCCAGTTTGGCTTAGTGGATACAGCATTGGCCTATAGACTGAAGGGTCTTGGGTTCAATTCCAGTCAAGGGCACGTACCTTGGTTGTAGGTTCCCCGGCCCTTGTCGGAGTGCATGCAGGAGGCAACCAATCAATGTGTCTCTCTCTCACATTGATGTTTCTCTCTGTCTCTCCCTCTCCCTTCCATTCTCTCTAAAAATCAATGGAAAATATCCTCACGTGAGAATTAACAAAAATAAACTTGTGAGTTGGGTCTTTCCCCTCATTTTCAGAGGGAGAAATTATAGACAGGAAAAGAAATAAATTCATAATTGCATTCACTGAAATATTCACCCCAAGGTTTGCATCTGAGACCAGAGGAACTTCTGCCCTCCTCCAGCTTTCCCCTGCCCACCATACGACCTCTATCTTTTGAGACCTTAAGGGACACTCACCCAAAACAATCATCGTTAAGATGGTGGAAGCTTGGCTTTCAGCAACCTTACCTGCATTCATCTCCAGCACACCTGCTGCCAAGAAGGACTGGGAGGGAAATGCAAAAAGCATGAGTGGGCACGCTGCCTAAGCTGGAGAAGCAAGTGTGAGGCAGCCGCACCCCACCCAACACCCTTGGGTCAATGAATAGAGATGGAGGCCTGTAGGGCGCAGCTATAGGGTTAACCCTCAGACTGAACTGTTGGCAAAGCCACAAACAAGTCCCAGCAAGTGCTGCCAAAACAAGTGAAACTCACAAGAACATTGTAACTATGGTGACCACTACCTTGTTTACCTCTGGCTATAAAATAAAGGCTCGGCTTGCCTCTGGCTCTCTCTCTGTGGCCTCAGCCAGGCACAGGAAGATCCACCTAGACCAGCCATGGGCAAACTACGGCCCGCGGGCCGGATCCGGCCCTTTTGAAATGAATAAAACTAAAAAAAAAAAGACCGTACCCTTTTATGTAATGATGTTTACTTTGAATTTATATTAGTTCACACAAACACTCCATCCATGCTTTTGTTCCGGCCCTCCCGTCCAGTTTAAGAACCCATTGTGGCCCTCAAGTCAAAAAGTTTGCCCACCACTGACCTAGACCCAGCTTATTCTCTCTGTCTGTCATTTCTTCATCCTTCACCGCCTTCACTCAGGCTTTCAAACCCTTGGCTGGGCAAGCTCGGCACATGTGGTGTCCGAACAGAAGTCCCCTCTGCTGACCCCTCTCCAGTCTGACAAAGCAAAGCAAGTTTGCTCAGAAACAATGGATTGCTTGCTTACAGGCAAGATACTACTGAGTAGCCAGACCAAAAGTTCTTTTTCTCAAATCTTGTCTCAGGTTGTGTCTATGTGTGGGGTGGTCCTTGGAGAATTTACTTGGCTTCCAGATGGGGTTGCTTTCCACTACCTGAGTGTCCAGATGCTAGTCCTGGGATGGAGGCCACCACACCGCCAGAATTACTTACCACACCCAGACAAACGCTTCTCATCCCAGGCATACTTCTAAGGACTCTAATAAACACCCACTTCTCCAACCTTCACTACAACCCACCAGGTCCAACTACTATTATCCTTGTAAGAAACAGGTAAGGACACAGCATAAAAACAGGTTTAGTTACTTGCGTCAAGTCATCTGCGAGTGAGAGTCTTCATTTGAACCCAGGCGGAGAGTCGGTGATCTTGGCCAGTACACTTAGTCGCCTCTACACAGGGTTCACACCAACTCCTTCCTGAGCGTAACTGATACCATGCATGGCCTGAGAAAAACTTTCACAGCTAAACGGGGAATACTCAGGGCGGGAGAGGGGGGATGAATTGGGTTAAAGCATTGTGACCTCCTTCTCCGTGTCTCCAGGCTGAGGCCGGGAAAGAGGCATTCCAGCCCAGAGAACTTCCAGCCCAGGAAACCCCCGGGGACAGGTGCAACCAATTCCTCAAGGTCCAGATGCAGGCAGACCTCGGGTTCCCCGTCTGTCCTCAGTTTACCCTCATTTTTAATCCCACGAGGAAAAATTCCCTTGAATTGCATGACTGGTCCGCAGTACCATTTCATGCCTAGTCTCTGTAAGCAAACCCAGATTAAAATGATTTTTCAAGCTTCCATTTTCAAATTCACCAGAATAAAGAGTGCATGCCTGTGGAAGGCTTTGCTGTCAAGGTTTCCCTCTCTGCTTTCTTTCCCCACCCTCTCCTCTCCCCTTCTCCTCTTGCTCCTTTAATTTTTAATATTTTTATTATTTTTAATCCTCACCCAAGGATATGTTTAATGACTTTAGACAGAGAGGAAGGGAGAGAAACATCAATCTATTGCCCTGACCGAGGATCAAACCACAAACTTAAAAAAAAATTTTATTGATTTTTAGAGAGAGGAAGAACGAAACATGGACTAGCTGCCTCCTGGACACCCCCAATCGGGGATCGAGCCCACAACTCAGACATGTGTCCTGACCAGAAGTTGAACCAGCAACCTTTCCATGCATCGCTGCACAAACTTTTGGTGTACTGGACGATGTTCCAACTCTCAATCCTCCTTTTCGTGCCATAAGAACTGAACTCATCCTATACACTCCTCATACCCCCCGCATCCATAAGTCATGAGACCCTTAGGAAAGTCTTGGTAAGTTTTATTTCTAGGAATGTTATCTTTTCACCTAAACTTTCTAATTTAATAGCATAAAATTGTAAAATAACATCAAACTTTAGAAATTCTGCGAGACTTCAACTACAAGGGACTGAGTGCTTTATTCAGACTGTGCAACAAGGCCTCGGAGAATGTCTCTACAACCATGAGAATGTGAGGGCTTTTCAGGTAAATAAGCAAAAGTAGCAGCGCCCACTGCAATTTGGCTGGGCTTTGGTCGGGTAGATATCACAGTCTTACAGAGATGAGTTGTTTCTTTGTGATTTGGCTCTTCTTGTTGCATCCTATTCTCAGAATTATTGACTCAAGGAATTTAGGAGTGGGTTATTCTCTCAGTATTAGCGGGCTAGGTCAGTGTATGTCCAAAGGAAAACATTTTACAGTGCTCCATTTTCCCCCCTTTTTTCCTGACTTTAGTTATTTATGAGTTCTCTTTTATTTTCACCGAGGTTTGTCAATATTATTAGTCTTTTCTAACACACACACACACACACACACACACTTGCCTTATCTGGGCCTCTGTATTGTATGTTTTTCTATTTCATAAATGTCTGCCATTTCTTACTTCCTTATTTTAACTTTTTTGGGACTTATTTTGATTGTTCTGGAGGTGGTGCTAGGTTTTCTGATTTTTCTAAATATCTTTTTAGGTTATCAATGTTTAAAGACTGCTTAAGCAATATCCTACTGGTCTTGATATGTAGCATTTTCATTATTTCTTCAAAATATTTTTTTTTGGCCCTAACCAGTTTGGCTCTGTGGATGGAGCATCGGCCTGTGGACTCAAGAGTCCCGGGTTCGATTCCGGTCAAGGGCATTTACCTTGGTTGCAGGCGCATCTCCAGTAGGGGGTGTGCAGGAGGCAGCTGATTGGTGTTTCTCTCTCGTTGATGTTTCTAGCTCTCTATCCTCTCCCTTCCTCTCTGTAAAAAATCAATAAAATATATTTTATATATATATATATATATATATATATATATATATATATATATGACTAAAAAATGTATACCCAGCCACAATGGCTGTATGGTTGGGTGTCCACCTGTGAACCAGGAGGTCACAATTCAATTTCTGGTCAGGGCACATGGCCAGGTTGTGGGCTCCATTCCCAGCAGGGGTTGTACAAGAGGCAGCCAATTAATGATTCTCTCTCATCATTGATATTTCTCTCTTCCTCTCCCTTCTTCTCTGAAATAAACAAAAATACATTTAATAAAAAGAAATATATTTGTAAGTTTCTGAATATAATGGGATACCCAAGGTATCTTTATTACTAATTTCTAATTTAATTATGCAAAGAACACACTCTATAAAATTTCCATTTTAAAAAGTTTTAGATTTACTTAATGGGCCAGCATATGGCTCATAATTTCTTCTCCTAGCTTTAATGAGACATAATTGATATGAAAATTTGTGGTCAAATTTTGAAAATGTTTCATATTCTTGAGAAAAAATATATTTATCCTTGGTACACTGGTGCAGTGTTCCATACAGTTATCAGTTAGATTGCTTGCTAATTACATTGTTCAAATTTGTATCTATAATTTTTACCCTAATTGTCCTATTAATTAGTGAAAGAGGTGTCAAGTTGACTGTGGATTTTATATTTCTTCTGTTTGAATATATCTGCCAACTCTTAAGCTGTTATTAGGTAGACTAGAGGCCCTGTGTACAAAATTTGTGCAAGAGCCTTGGCCCCTGCTGCCATAGCAGCCGCCTTTGCCTCAACCCCTGCCCACAGCTGCGGTCACAGGCCTCTGCTGCCTCTGCCTTGGCCCCCACCTACCACAGCTTTGTCCGGAAGGATGTCCAGAAGGACATCTGGTCTAATTAGCATATTATGCTTTTATTATTATAGATACTAACTTAAAATTATGTCTTCCCACTGTTTTTCTTTTCTGAACCTTTTATGATTCCCTTTGTCTCTAGGAATGGTTTGTGCCTCAAAGTCTCTATTTCATCTAATATTATTAGAGCTACATGCCCATTTTCAGATACTATTTGCTTTGTGTATTTTTTTAAGGCAAGTCTCTTGTATGCAGGATCTGGTGGGGTTCTGTGCTTTTGTCCTGTTATGGTCAGAATGTTTGTATTCCCCCATCACGTGTTGGAACCCTAATGCACAGTGTGATGGTGTTAGAAAGTGAGGCCTTTCAGTGGTGAGGTCATGAGGGTGGAATCCTTATGAATGGGATTAGCGCTCTTATAAGACTCCACAGAACATCTCAGCCCTTTCCACCATGTGAGGATACAATTAGAAATCTGAAAGGTGGAAAAGAGCCCTTATCCAACCATGCTGATCTTCAACCACTCTGATCATGGGCTTCCTCCCAGCCTCTAGAACTGTGAGAAACACGTTGTTTATTGTTTCTAAGCCACCCAGTCTGTGGTATTTTGATAGAGCAGACTAACAGACTAAGACATTGACTGACAATCTTCATCATTTAATGAAATTAGAGTATAAATACTGATATGTTTGGCTTAAGATCTACCATCTTTTTGACTTTTTCCTTTGTCCCACCCATTTTTTCTTTTATTGCTTTATTTTTAAAAATCCATTTTTAATCTACTAGTATTGAAATTATATATCCTATTTTACTATTTCCCTAGACTTTACAATATGCATGAGATTAACCAAAACCTTTACCCTTATATAACACAATCCTTCAATCCTTTTTACTTTTGACTTATATGTCATTGCCGTCTGGTATTCTAAGTCTCTTATTTTCACAACTCCAGATTTTTATTGTTTTATATAAAATGTTCATTTACATTTGCCAACATATTCCTTATTCTCTTTGCTCATATCTTTTTATATCTCAGACCCCATCTGGGATCACTGTCCTTCTGTATTACAATGGATTCTTTAGAATTTTCTTCATTGTGGATAATAAAACAATTTGTCTTAAAATGTGTTTTTTTGTATCCTCATTCTTGAAATATATTTTCACTGGGTATAAAAAATAAAATTCTAGGCTGACATTATTTCCTATCTTTATGCTGATGTTTTCACTGCACTCTTTTGGCTCCCATTGTTACTGAGAAGTCTATTCTTCCTTTGAAGGGATTTTGTGTGTTTAGCTGTTAATTTTTTTCTCTTTGATTTTCTGCAGTTATGATGTGTGTAGGTGTGACTTTCATCAAGTTATCCTCCTTTGTATTCTTTGGGCTTTTAAATCTGTAGGCTTATGTTTTCATCAGTTCTGGAAAATTCTCAGCCCCATTCTCTTTGCCCCTTTTATTGTGTCCTTGCCTTCTGAGACTATGATTAAACACAAATCAAACTTTTCTATCTCCATGCTGTATTCTGGATAATTTCTTCACCAATATCTTTCATGTTTTCACCAATTCTTTTGTTCCTGTCACAAACTGTTACCAAATACATCTTCAAATATTTTAAGGACAGTTCCTCCCATGACCCTAATGTAACCAATAATTCAATATGTGAAGTCTATGTATGTCCTTTTCTGCTGGCTTTCAGTCATGTTGCCTTTTTTCCTTATGTGCCTGATTATCTTTATTAATTGTCCCTAAAAAAATATCTATAAGGGTTACTTGAGGTCAAAATTGAAGGAGTCTTCTCCCAAAGTCTTCTGATGCTTCTACCAGGTGTGTTTATCTAGTAGGGTTGGCCAGTGACCACAGGGCATCAGGAATGTTTTTTCCCTTACTTTTTCTTCTCTTGCTTTGCTTAGTAATAGCACTGCTATCTCTACAGTCCCATGGGCCTGGGGATGGGTTTAGACCTGGTTTACCTTATCCTGAGGATAAAGCCCTTTGGGAAGCCAGTTTAACTTAGGAAAGGTCTCCTGTAAGATTCATCACCTCAGCTGGACGTGGCCCTGACCTTCTGTCTCTCCCTGTGACTGAAGTGGTGCTCAACTGTGCAGCATCAGTAAACAGTTCAGAGCATTAGCTGCTCTGGAGTTCCCCTCTCTGATGATTGGATCCCATTTTCAAGCTGCCCTGCTTATTTAAACTACATTGTCTTCTCACTCTCAATGCTCTTGATGCAGAAGGCATCCCAACTACATTTTAGTCGTTTTTGGTTTAGGTGGGAAGTTAACCCAAATAACCTAGCCCATCTTTACCAGAAAGCACTCTCCCACCTTTTTAATGTTGTTTTTCTTTTCCAGACTTTGAGGTTTTCCAGCCCAGATTTTGATTTATTTCCTTTATTTCTATCATTTTAGTGCTCACCCATGACAATTTATCATAATTAATGTCATAAAATCTACACTTAAACAGCATTTTGACCCTCGTCCATGCAAATCTTCCATCTCCCAATTTACCTACTATTGTCCAAGATTTCCATTCTATTTTAACCCTTGAGTTAGACAGGCTTTTTTAGACACTGCTTTTTTTTAAGCGTTTTGATTTACCTACATATGTTGGAAATTTTACTTTTCTTCTCGCATATCAGAATTTTTCTCTGAAAAGAGGTGGGGGATGGTGGTCCCTAAACCAGCTCAAGTCCTGAGGGTCTGAACAGATGTAGTCAAACCACCTCTGCACCAGTCTGCCTGGAACAGGTGGAGACCCAAAGACCCCTCCTTGTCTGGGTCATTCTGAGCTGATGTATCTGTCCTTAGATAGGCTCAAGA